CCGTACCGCATGGATAACCAGCACTAGAGGTAACTGACGGAGGTGCTTACATAGTCCTGAAGCTCACACCGCCAAAAATTGTCTTGCGCCTATTTGATCGGGAGTCGCTATACAGTCGACAGCCCCTCAGCAATCCATGCCTCTCTCCGGTGGACCAGCGACGGGTTGGGCGACTCACTGCAAACAAATCCGGAGGATGCCTGATTGTATATCCCTTCAGCATGTCTACGAATATTCGATGCCGAAGCAGAAACTTCTCCCGACGAATTTGCTGACGCCAAGGTGTAGAAGTTCGAGGGCAAGCGGGCACAAATGGGATTCGCGTTTGGCCGGTGCAAACGCGTGCCGTACACAGTAGATACAATAAGGCTTATATACGTAGCTAAATAGGGGTAGATAAGGGCGCGGGTATCCGTCGGGGGGGCGGGACCTGTGGCGCTCGTTCCGCGAGCTCGCCATCTTGACGCCAGGATTCCAACACAAGGTAACGAGTCTGCGTTGGAATCGCATTGTGCGCTTCCCGAGTGGGTTCCGGAGAGGGACTTTGTGGTCGAAAGACAGGCGACATAAACCCCAGGGGTAGCCAGAATAGCGACATGAGACGATAGGACCTCGGACGCGAGACGATGTAGGATGGATTGAGCCTGGGTTCAAGAGGACAAGCTACATAGTGTGGAGGGCGGATAAGCGACATCGTGCACGCCGCGGCGCTTGTGTGCTGTGACGGTCCATCACGGACCGTGGAGCAGACTTCGGGCCGGACGGGGGAGTCGCGATCGGATCAAATTGTCTTTGTCTTGGCCGCCGCGATGCTTCAGCTTGCTCTTCTTTTGCACGTACCAGTCAGGTCCTTACTCCTCCCCTCCGACACGATCATTCACAAATCCTGTCGACAACGAAGTTGCGATGAAAACCCCCTTACATCTTCTTAGTTGCAGAACGAGTCAGGGTCGGGCGAGGAGCGAGGGAATTAGATCCTCATCAGGTGTGCCCTCCACCATCACTCTGCCGTATCGTCTCGCAATTCGTCCGTCTGGGGCAGGTCTGGTGCGGGCATTGAGAGAAGATATCCATTACCCAAACGCACATGCTCCTCTCGCAATGACTCCCTCACATTCCCAACCTCCCTCGCTGTCGAGCTCGATATACGACTCCGTCGTGCCGTCTCTCGGCCTTCTCTGCTGCGGTAGTACACAGGAAATCTTCATCCATCGTCCCGTTTCCGGATTTTCACGTTCCACCTTCAAAGCCCATCTCGGCTTTCTCGTGAAGCAGATCCTACAAGCGGATCCCATGTTCAAAGCCTTCGAGAACGCTCAGACGCAGATAAGCAGTAGCTCGAATGGTTTGGAACAGTTCGTCCTCACCAGCGTTTCACTAGCGTCATCGGCGCTGATATTGACCGGCATCTGTTTGAACAGAGTCAAGTGATCGTACGTAGCGAAGCAGAGCGCAGCTTCCGCATATTTTACCAGCTCATGGAGGGCGGTGGTAGTATGAAAGGCAAACGAAGGTAGTTTTCAGCGTTGTTTGTGCTGACGATGCCGTTCGTCGACTTCCGTCAGGGGTACAAGGTCCTGGCCCCAGGACACAGCGCGCCTGAGTGTATAGATGCCGGATGGTGTTCCTGAGCATAATTAACGCGCTCGAGCAGTGGGCATCTCCATCTTTAGCGTTGGTATGTCTAAGGTCTTCTTTGAGACGAGCATACTTACGGCGCCTGAGGCGAGCGGGGATGTACTACTGTTCAACGTCTTCTCGCGGTTGCGGACTGTCGTGTGGATTTTCACGGCGCAGAGGCTCATGGGAGGGCTTGCATATTTCGCTTACCTCGACAACAAGGCGAGGATGTTGAGCATGGATGTCACAAAATCCCATCGAGATACATATCAGATGTTTCATCATACAAATCGTTCTGTGACATTCACTCCACAGAACCCTGTTCCTCTGTGTGCTTCAGCAAAACCGCCATTTCGAATTTTCCTGTGTGTGGCGGAGGCGTCTTGATCGTGCCTGTTCCCTTGATGAGATAACCCATAGCTTCGTAGATTGATAGCTGCGGCAAGTCTGTCAGCATGCAGAGAGCTATTGAACCAGCTATCGTGCGTGTGATTACGTTTGTCTTCCCTACAGTCTCCAAAACGCAGGGAACACGATCTTTACAAGCCTATTGATATTCAGATACAGACCGCCATGCGACCGAGAGGTTTCAAGGCTCACCTTTGCTTCTATGTATCTTATTAGTTCCGTTGCAACACCCTTGCGTTGATGCACTGGAGATACGCCAATGAGTTGCAAATGGTACGCGCCAAGCTTCACGCCATGACCGAGGACGCGATCTGTCAATTTGCCATAGGTTTCGAGGAACTAACGTGGGTAGTAAGCTTGAGAAGCGTTGCACCATATGAACACGATCTAGGACAAACCTCCTTCCACCAGTTCTGCAGTTCAACAGGCAATCCTGCCATCACTTGATTGTGTCCAGCATTCAGCTGAGCTTCACTTCGAGAGGTTCAACATGTACCGCGTTGCATCTATCAGTCAAATAACGCTTACGAGTCGAGGTACTCGTGTCCAGGATGAAACCTGGTTCAGTTCAGTAGGGAAACATCATGTCGTCCTGTTTCATAACCTACCACACAGCCACTCCTACAACGCCCACTTCGGGAAGTTCGGCTATGTCTACTTCGCCGACATTCTCGAGAAGGGCGGCGTTCATATGGGCGGACATCATAGGCTCCTGTAACGTCTTATCGTTGTTCAATGCGCTACCAAAGAACCCTATTGTATCAATTCAGCTCGCAGAAGCATGATGGAAGGCAAATCGGAGAGCATATACCGTAACCGAAGGCCTCAGCTAGCAGCTTGGAGTATGTACCGAGTTCATCCTCTGGCGAATAACGTCAGTATCGATACGACGCCCATCGCTAATCACAAACGCACCAGAGGGCTTAATGACCTGTCTGACGATGAGCCCCATCTTCGGTTGTGTAGACCCTAGCACGGATGAATTCTCTGTGAGACATGGCGGTCGAAGGACGTCTATATATGCATGATGGGAGCAAACCCTGCTGGCAAGCCCAGTAACGAATGTTCGAGATAACGCATCAGAGGGTAGAGATGACATATTGATCGGGCGGTGATATGGAAGAACAACATCATGGTGAATAACGATAACTGATGTCGATCAAACCTGCAGCCGCACGTATCACACTAATCGATAATCCGAGATGCGCAAAGCAACCCTGAATACTATGGAATCGATGCCCTCAAACCCGTCCGAAATCTCGAAGACTTGGGCCGCTGAGAGGCATACAGACGTGGAAACGGGTGCTTCATAAAATCGGAATGAACAGCGAACACAAAAACTATACATACCTGCAGGACCTCACCCAGAATTTGACTCCATGAGAGCAGACTCCTCATCTGCGCCGTCAATCTTGGATGAGCTATGCTTGCAGTGCTTAAGTCAGCGACATCTCCCTCTTGAGTTACAAGCCCGGATATACTGTTCGGATTGATCAGGAACGCGAGATTGTACTGGTGAGGGTGTGGGGCCTGCAACTAGAGACCATGGCATATACTGCGCACAGGTAGTACCCCGATCGCTAGACATTCTCAGATAAACGTGTGTAATGTCTCCTCGTGGTAAAAGAATACCTGAGCATACGTAGGGGCTTCCGGTCAGTAGCAAATACACAATGAAGATATCACGCATGTTTTTGTTCAAATTGCACGTCCTCGGTTGCCCTGAACATAGCAATGACTTGGAGCAGATGAAAGCTCTTAATGTTACCTGAAATTAGACGGCCGCACGGCCAACTTATTTGGCTAGGACGTCAATCATCATCGATCACCACTGGCACTAGCCTGATGTCAAAGTAGAAGATGGGGATGGTGTCGAACCAGTCGTCAATTCGACTATGGTGGAGGACGCGCGAACCTCGCAACACCGGTAGGTGGAGATCATTTTGACCGCTCTGTAGCGTCTAAACGGCTCATTAGAGCTGTGACATTGCACACGTTCTTAGCCTGAGCCAACATATTCCAGTCTGCAGCAACGTCATGGCAGAATGTACACGTTCTGACAACCTAGACGACATACTGCTACTGCTCCTTCGATTGTCCCCTTCTATCGTCTCTACCTCTACCCTGCGAGGAAAGCAGCGACTTCCTTCATGTATCTATCCCTCTCCTCGAAGTGCGGCGTGTGGCTCGACTCTTCGAGTCTGATCCATCTTGCTCCGGGAATTTTCTCTACATACGCACGGGTGACATAGTCCTGTGCAATGTCGTATTTGCCATTGATGACCAGCGTCGGCGTACGAATCTGGTCCAGACGGTCTTCGATTGTCCAGCCCTTCAGGATGCTGTGCGCCGAGGAGTTCAGAGGGATGAGGCGAATATGAATAGATAGGTACTACTTACGGGGCATTCTCGACAGTAAGGTCAGCGCCTTCGCCATATACCTGCAGCAGCGAATACTCCAAGTCTTTGGGCATCGGCTGCACCCTACAGCCATGAACCGCGTATACCTCCCCCAAAGCCTTCCAGTACGCCTCCCTGTCCTCAAAGCCCTTCGCTATAGCATCCTTGACCCACTGAGGATACTGTTGCAGGAGCTCAAAGAACGATTGGCCCCACAGCGCGATCGCCGTTGGGGAATCGGCGATGACTAGTCGCTGTAGGCCGCTGGGCCGCCTCCGAACCACGAACTCTGAAGCCATCATTCCTCCCCACGAGTGCCCCACGATGTGGTACCCGTCCTGGATCTGGAAGTATCTGAGAAGGTTCTCGAGCTCGTCGAGGAACAGATCGACATTCCAAAAGTCCTCTGGCTGGTCTGGGAGGTGCGTCGAGCGTGCATTGCCGATCTGGTCGTACAAGATGACAGGGTACCCGTAGGACTCGTCCGCAAGGTCTGCGATGGGGAGCATGTAGTCGTGTGAGAGACCCGGGCCACCGTGGAGGAGGACGACGACGGGGGTGCGAGTACGATGCTCGAGGTCTCCGAAGACCTTGTAGTATGTCTGGTGTGTCTCGCCTTTGTATGGAAAGGGAATGTGACCGTCCTTGATTGAGACACAAATGGCGGGCATGCTGGTTAGGTCGTTGATCGATATCGGGACTGGGAGAATCTCAGCAGCAGCAGTGAAGATGAACGCGGATCCCACAAGAGCCGGGATGTACAGCTGCTTCGCTTAGCGGCAGAAATAGCGCTGGGGTACTGGAATAGTATCCCGGCGCCGGATTGAACGTGCCAGAATTCCGATGGCCTCCTGCCGAGTTTCCCTGCCTGAAAACAATAACTCAATAGCTTTCACAATCACGTGACGTGAAACGACATACTATCCACTATCGTGGACCATCGGTGCGAAAGTCCCTGGTTGATGCCTCCGATCGTGATAAACATCGAAGTCTTGTTGAGTCCCAAATTGGACCGCCTACTCAGCGCCGAGACTGATCGTAAACTAGTCGTGTTTGCTCTCGCACGATGCGGGCATGATTTCCTGAAACGCCTCACCCTTCTCTCGGATTAGAACATGAACATGAGCAGCACATAAGCATCAATTAGCGGTGCTTACGCACATCCAGAGCGCTTTACCGTCGCATATGAATAGTGTATAAAATCAGCCAATTGTATATGTAGTGCGAGGTCGCGGGGCGTAAGGAAGTAGCGAAGGAAAAGGAAACGGCGAGGAAGGCACGAAGAGCGAACACATACCTAGCGCGCTCCGTGATGGCCGATACTGTACAGGCCTAGGCACACGTCACGAGCCCCGTTGAGGCTCGCGAGGAAATGCTGCAGATATCAAGACAATGTTAGACACGATGAGGCTATATCGATAGCAGCTCACACACCCACAATGATACAAAGCCTCTGAGGGGGGAGTAAGCCATGAAGTCGATCGGATGAAAGTGCGCATGAGTCCGCGTCAATCATGATCCACAGGGCATGCCTGGTAGGGATGCGGTGGGACAACGAAGTCGGACGCTGTGGTGCGGGTGTATGGAGATGACGAAGCCCGAGGACCGCCCTGGCGCCGACTATGCGTACTCAGGTAGACGACCGAGGGCGTGGACCCATCTATGCCCAACATCAATGCATTGCTCCTGCGAGCTTCTGATGTGCGATCTTACCGTTGAACAACTCGTGGAGGGGCTGGATAAGCTTCAGTTCCATGTGCTCAAGCAGAACCAACGATATGATCCATCTTGATCGTCGCAACTGGTCCCTTAAGGCTGTTACTCTCGGTGACGTTGGGGTAGAGCGTACCTTGGAGATGCCATTGGATTTTACCCTTGGTCTCGGTACCCTTGGTCTCCTCCTTCTCAGCCTCAGCCTCAACCTTCGCCGTCTCGGTCTCGGAGAAGTTGATGAACGGAGGCCAATGATCTTGCGCTTCTGTTCTGGTTCCGAGACGCCCTCGAGACGCAAAAGGAAGAGATCTGACGGGTCGACGACGGTGAGGTTCACGCCGGGATCTTTGCTCTATATCCTGTGTAGACGGAGAACAACATTGTCGAAGATGGTAGCGCGAAGACTACATGGCCGCTAAGTGGCTGTCTGAGTCTGGCTCGTATGCAACTCACCGATCGCTGATAGTCCCATGCATCAGCTTCGCCGCAACAGAACTATCAACACCACCTCTGTGGGCGACCTTTGGTTCCACATATCTCGCAAATGCGCGCGACACCTTCTTAATTGAACTCCTGTACAAACGGTCGTTACCATGGGCAAAACTCTGCATCATAGTCCGACACGGGGAGAACTTGCCATTGTCCGGTGTTCTCTGCAGCCTCAGATGCCCATTACAAAGTTGCTAATCACCTGCTTGGAGTGCGTGACCTCGGGATGGAGCTGTGTACCCTATAAAGACTTGGAGCGGTGCGCTACCACGGCATATGGCGCGGTTGCTGTACGTCCGATGATGTGGAATCGCTCGAGCAGTTCATGAAGTTGGTCGCCCAGGCCTGAGAAAGAGGCAAACGTCAGATAGACAGAGTGGGCGACATGAATGTAACACGCACCTGCAAATCCTCGCCCAAATCCTTGAGCAGCGCGTCGACTCCGTTGTTCTCGCCACCAATTTTGCATGTTTGCACCTGGGTAAAGCCGTACTCCCGATGCTCGCATATAGCCACCATACCCTTCTTCTTCCACGCCATCTCCTACTTTCGCATATTCAGGTGCACTCCATGAGTACAATGAGACGAGCGATACACACCTGAAGACTATGACAGATGCCAAGGACGGATATTCCGGTCGCAGACACTTCCGGGTCAGCATGTGGTACATCCTTGTCGTGTCGAGAATGGCGATCCGGAAAGAGCAATCCCTGTTCATTTTCTGGGTGCATGGCATGAGCTTGGCGTACACGTTCAGTTCAGGGCATATCCTAGTGATTGAATGGCAGTACTGCGATTGAGATCAGCTTCGCATTCAGCGGAAACCATGGGAACATACCTGAGGATGAGAATGGTGTCGAGGTGGTCGTGAATCTCAGACATGGTGAAGGAAGGGGTTACCCGGTTTCCAACGTAGGCAAGCTCGTGCAGCGCCTGTCCTCGATCAAAGTAGCATATGTGGATTTGCAGCTGGTCGAGTTAGGACGTGCTCAGTCGTTTCAGGGAAGCATCGACCTAGTGCGAGACAGCTGCGCGAGACAGCTGATCGTAGTAGTCCCGCACATCCGGCAGCCTCTGCTACAGCACGCACTAGGTGTTGACACTCTGGTACATGGACGCGTGATGGTGTTGTGATATCCAACTTTTCGCATGAAAGGTTGTACTAGATGTAGCGGTTAGCTCACTGTAGGACACGTCGGACTCGAAGCGTCCACGACAGAGCTTCTCCATGAAAAGCGGGAAGCACTTCGGTAGGCAGATAGTGCCGTCACCTTCGAGTATGGCTCGCTCTCCATGCTTCCATCCTGCACTGCGTTGACATGGGCACGCACGAACATATACGGGATGGGGAGGAGGAACAGGGCAACCAAGACGAGGTGGATGGACTCACAATTGCAAGCACAGTCACCGATTTGATGTTCTCGTTCGCGGGCTCGAATTGGATGCTCCAAGCATGTTCTGCCTGTATTCAATACATAGCACGTCTTGAGCCAGTACCCCTAGTGCATTGCCTCACGTCCACCCCATACCTAGCGTACGCAGCGCCCAGTGTTGTCGGGCATTGCCTGAGGGACTAGCATCAGAACGAGGACGCACTAAGTCAATCTTTGTATCATACATATAGCCACTTATGTTAACGATTGGTACTTGGAGAAATGTGAGGTGCGCAGAAGCGAACTGGCCTGGTACGAAGGGTCCATGAAGATCGATGAGAAGCAGACCATGGTATTGGTGTTCAGCGGCATGACGATTGAGTTCGCCAGTAGCGTCGCGGATACGAGACTAGCCCATCCACCTGGTCGGTTTTTAGGGCGATGCGACAGATGGCCAAATGTCTGGTCGACGTGCAAGAGCAAGAGAGGCAGCAAGGCAGCAAGGCGCTTCCAGCGCATTCGGCCCGCTCGGCCGAACGCATCCTGACCTCATTCCCACGCTCGTCTCTACCATCCTCCCCGGCGAATGTGGCCCGTCTCTTCGCAATTTACGACTGCCCCTCTAAGGTGCCAGAAACCTGTCACGTCCTCATGCTCTCATTCGCTTTTTTCATGTGCTCTTGAACCTCCTGTAACCGCTGTCCTTCCGTTCCTGCGCACATCTACTCGGGGCTGACTATTTACTGGATCTCTCACGCTCAATTGCTGTTGATAGACGTCTTCGCCTTTGGTTGCTGCCATTCTCCTCCCTTCCCCTTCATTGGGACGTGAGTTCAAGCGGCCTGCGACTTTCGCTCCTTAACGAGGAGACTTTCTTTGTCGCAGGGTCCCTGTCCCTCCTGTTTTCACTGCCGCCCACCCGCACAGTGCTCTTGGTGGACTCGATGCCTAGTCTCCTCATCCTTAACTCCTTTCGCGCTCCACTCTTTACGCCTATGCCTTATCTCCGCCCGGTTTTTAGAGTCATTAGAGAGTGGACGCCAAGGCCAGACATGCCAGGCATAAGGTGCGTGTTCATATCCAATCAGCTGCCCTGCACCTAGCATGCGTTGATAGGAGTGAAGGCCATTATGTCTGCCGCAGTGCCGGTTCTACCATCTGCAGTATGGCAGTGCCGCTCTGCGGCAGATTCTGGCGTTCTCCCGACTCTCAAACGTGATGACGTGTGTTCAACGGGCAGGATATCGGGTCCGATGCGCTGGTGCAGAACGTGTCCTTCGCGGACATGCAGATCGTGCAGGGTATCGTGGAATGTGCCCGTGTATGTGTCAAGAGCGTGGAGGCGCAGAATGCATCGGGGATTGAATTCTGCGCTGGGACTGGCCATTCCGGCGGTCCGCTCCAGGATAGAGGTAGTCGCTGTCAGAAGTTTCGGCGCTGTCGCTGCCAAGAATCCATCACTCTGGAATCACTTATGGTGGAGGATTACGACAGAAGTGATCTTTAATCCCACGACCCGCACACAGCATTCTGACAACGTGCTCGCGGGCCCTCCCTTGTGCCGACGATGCCCGTTTCAATGACCCGCCACGACTTTGCAGAGAAGCCTCGTGATGATTGAGTCGATACAGTTTCTCTATAAGACGAGAAAAATACTTGCGATGATTCCTTGAGAGTCCATGCTTGGAAACTGTCAGCTACGTTTACGACTGTATAGTACGTCTACTTCAATGCTGATCAGACCAGATGTACTTGCGCTCGCGAGTCCTTTGTTCGAACTAAATCTTCGGCCCATTGCGAGTCTGAGCAGCGAGCCCTGGGCTCTTGCCGAAGTTCGCCAAGAGATTGGGGACCTGAGGTTCACTAGCTTTCTCACTTTGCTCTTCGCTCCTTCACTGCCACCAGTCCCGTAGGTGGCCTGTCTCGAGCACTCGACTGAGCCCAGTACGCAGTTCAGCATGGGCGCTGGCGTCACGCCCGCTGCCCTCGTGTCCTTGTCCAGCTCGGTGGGGGCATGTTGATGGTCACCTGAAGCTCGGAAATCTCCCATTGGCGGTGTGCTATGCATTCCTTCCGCTCCCTTGAGAGCTCTTCCATCTGCCGCTCCCCCTTCTGATCATGATGGGATTCTCGGCGGCAGCCTGTCGCATGCTAGCGAGCCGCAACCTCAGATGGCGGATGCTGTTCGAGAGAGAATTGGTCCTCGCGCAGGGCGTCCCTATTGCATCGATTGAATCAGTTCTATGATGTGATTTTGTTACTTATCTCGTTGCTCTCTTGACAATCTATTGTCTACGCAAACATCGTCCACTCGACCTACTCCGTCGCACAAGCGAAGACCTCCGGCGAGATACCAGAATACTCAGCTCTCTGCCTGCTTTTCGAGCAAGTCAATGTTCCCCGCGGACATCTCGATACCCTTCGTTGCTCCGTAGAAGTCCCTGTTGACCTTCTTCTCGCGCTCGACCCGGTCGCTTGAGTCGCATGGTCCATAGGGATGGACACGGGTCGGGTCAACCCGCCTCGGGTCCGGGTATATACCCGTGCGGGCACGGGCACGGGTCAAGGTTCGGTCGACCCGACCAAAACCCGTACCCGGCGGAGCGTAGGGCCCGTGGACCCGTCGGCGAGGAAGAACTTCGTTGCACTGTGGCGGAATGTATTTATAGATCAAGATGATTCTAGCGCGAATGACCCTTGTATGACTGCCATAACTTCCAACGATCCCCACTTCAGGGTCATTAGCAAGCGCGGCCACTGTCAGCCACTGTACACACTCGAGAAGACCCGGAAACATGGGGATGGTACTTGAACTAGCGCTGCTCTACTCAAACGAGATTTGTGAGGTAGCAATGCTTACGTGGTTGTCTCTGTAGATGTTGTGTCCACAGAGAACTTGTGACAGCATCTACAGTGACAATCAGATAGCCATATTCCAATTGATCCTCAATGCACTGTTTACCCGACCTTCGACCCGTACCCGACGTCAACCCGTACCCGACCTACTCGGGTATGAACCCGCGCGGGTACGGGTACGGGTCAGGTCAAAACGCGCACGGGTAGACCCGTGTCTATCCCTACGCATGGAATGCTACGCGGCCTAGTTCAATGCCTCTTGGAGCGTCTCGTTCTTCCTATTCCCCTCAGGTCGAGTCCGGGATAGGGCGGAGACCCGAAGACGTACAAATCCGCTCCAAGGGCGATGACGCACTCCAGCTCGATGATATGCTTCAGCGCGTGCTCATCGACGCCGAGAGGCGCTCGGCTTCGAGATACTCTCCGACCTCACGGCGCGTCTCTGCCTCCAGCCTGAGCTCAAGATATTTCAAGGTATCGCACTCGCTCTATCAGAATTTCTCCGCGGGCTCCTTGCGGAGATAAGGTTTGCTTCCTTATACTCCAGCTTCTCTTTGTGCGTCAGACGTAGGTAGTTCCCTTCACCGTCACATCATGATGGACAACGGATGTACGTGATCAGTACAGCCCCTTCCCGTAGTGTAGTGTAAAGACTCCGCAACAGTCCCGATAGCTATATTGCGTTTCAGGAATTTGTTGATCTACCGACGCACTATGAACGTCAGCGTGAAGGCCTGCAGCGGCGAGCGCAGCGTTCAGAGGCAAATGCTCTAAAGACATCGGTCGTGATGCGCGAAGCAATGTCTTGACTTATGCTGCGCCTGCCTGCATTGTAACTGAGACGGATGACGTGACAAGGTTTTCCGCTTTCCAGTTACCCCATAACGCCAGCCATCTGACAACTTGAGACGTATCGCTTCTGGTCTGAGGCAAGAGCAGAACGATCTCTGTTTTGCGACCCATTCATGTAAGTCTGGTTGAAGGGACGCCGTGGCTACTGATGAACTTGGGGGTACAACACAAGCATACCTTCAGTTTCTCAAGCTGTTATATACACAATGGTCGCGTATAGGCTACACCGAGAGAAAAGACACTCTGGGAACCGCTTCGTACCTCCCACACGAAACCATGACTAGAGCTACTTCCAGGAGTAGATCTAAATGTCTACAGACGGAAGACTTGTCCGGGCTTATGCGCGTCGCTGTCGTCGGCCATCATGTCACGGGTGGTTTGGTTCTCCCCCTCGATCTCGGTTGCCACCTTGATGTCAATCTTGGTCGGGCCTATGTCAGGGATCTTGTGGACCGGAAATTTTCAGTCCAGAATTTGAGAGCTGGTCACGTTTCACTGACCTGAGGAGCATTATACCGTTCAGCACGAGCCTGTCTGGCCGCCCTTTCGATGGCATTAAGCCCGTAGGTTGCATCTGATCCAAATATCTCGATGCCTCTAGTGATTGCCATGTCTCGGGAGTTTAACCTGCAAAACAGTAAGCCGGACGATACACCCTTCACGTCAGTGTCCACTCACACGGAGAGGAAAGTGATAAGGTACACTGCAGGCGATTGGGTCAATTCTCCGAGGATAGGCTACGAGACTTGATTGCTTACACTTCGTGGTTGCTGTATCGAAGGCAATCCACCAAGCAGTCCTTGCCACTGCATATGCCTATTTGGATGGTCAGGACAGCAGACATACTGTCCCAGATAATTACATACCAATATCCAGGACACGATGTCACAAATGCTGATATGTAGCACAATTAGTGAATGATTGGAGGAGATACATGTAACCAAATTGCGCACCTTACCAGTAGTCCTGTATCATATGTTCATTAGATATCCAAAAACTTACCTCAGCGAGCCAAGGGTACACACCTGTATTGAGAACATAGAGCATGAAGTTCTCCATGAGCGATCTGGAGCTAGAGTGACTGTTAGCGGAATAATATAGGCTTAATGGGCTAGACAAGCGCACATTGTATTGGAGCCTTTCCGATGCCTTTGACCCAAGTATATCACGTAAAGGAGCGAGCTTGTGAGAATGATGTGGGCCACAGTGGAGCATCCATATTTCCCTGACACCACGAGCTGTCGAGCGCTCAGCTACCATCCACAAGGGCCTCTGCCAGACAAAGGACGCACACCGTGCTGCCGCTGAATGCGTCCTGGGAAATCCATAACTCCTGAGGTCACTCTAGGCTGCGCTCAGTTCGTGTTTCCTGTCTGTCGAAGGAGAAAACTCATACAAGTATACAGTCATCACTATGAATACAATATGTGAGAGGGGTCTCTAACAGAACGATGACATTACTACTCACCTACGCAAAATCCTGTATAACCCGGAGGCCTATGTCAGAGCAAGTCGTACATTGCTCAGAGTTTACTTACCAAATCTCCCGAGTATTCCAGCGCACTGGTGGGTGAGTATCTCATGAGTCAAGTATAACTGGTCATGGAGAATCAACGTACAGCCAGCACGATAATCCACTTGTTACTCAGGCCCACTGGATAACAGTCAGGCTCTGACGTATATCTTGCATTGTGGATACCTACTCATCCATACCCGCTGGACAAAGAAACTTCATAACCATGCTCAGCTTAGATCAATGCATGGTGAGCCGTAGAAACTCACACCAGCGACAAAATGATGGACAGCTCCTGCGTATTAGTTAGTAACCTATCTCCATATATATACGTAATGGGAAATAGATACTGCCGACTCACCGCCGTGATAGGAAGTGCCTTGGTGCGCGAGATGTTGGTTAATACCCTATAAGAGCAAGATATGACCACTAACATCAAAGGACCTGAGAGAATATTAGCGTCACGAGTCTCTAGATGCACAATGCGCTTCAATCGCCTCACCATATTGTCATTGAGCTCGCAGCCGTATCATTGTAGTTGGTTACCAACGAGCGGTAGCTGCGACTCATATCTAAGCTTAAGAGCTGACATCCCAAAAATGGAGCCCGTACATTCCATGCATGGAGAAAATAGTGTGAAGTGTTTCACAAACTCTGCAAGGCGTCAGAGAGATGATAGGCTCGCAAACAATAGTCGACTTACAAAGCGCACCACACCTGAATCAGAGCGTCAGTTCGCAAGAACATAGTCACTCGTGAGCGTCAGAACACCTTACCAGTACACGAATGTTCACTTCATCATTGGGATACACGCGAAAGTATCTGTATGATTGGTGCAGCATCAAGCCATACAGTCTATATAAGTGTCAACGACCATATGAGTAAGACATGGATGTAGTGGTTGACACATACATGAGACTGAAGAATGTACCCAGAAGAAGGGCGCCGTAGAGATTCTCTATTGGAGAGGCCATACCACGTAACCAAGTTGGTTGTACTCTGGGGGGATGTCGCCGTGGAGGCAGCTCTGTTGGGTGCCTGTATATATCTACTGTATCCGTGAAGCGCGGAAACAAGCAGCGCTGAATGGGTGATGCAGACTGCACCGCAAGAACTGCGGGTAGCTTGTCCCGGGTTGCAGTGTCGGAGGGTTTTCCTTTGCTCCATACGGATGCAAAACTGGTTGTAGATATACTAAGGTTTCTGATGAGTAAGAAGAAACCTGATCTGATTGATATGTACCCTTGGTCTCACGTCCCAGTGATAAACTGTAACCGTAAGACACATCGGCGCAGCCATAGATGTTAGAAACGCTCAGGCGATGAAGGCTTCCATCACAGCCGAAGCTCTGTTGGTGCAACAGCTAGAGAAGCCTTTACAAAGTACATGCACATGCACCTACAGCGGCGAAGCAGACAACAGATCCCGCAGCTGGGCGTGACATTCTTCTGGACTATTTTGGCTAACACGATGCTTGACGCTACCCATCGTACCATATGACCGTACCATAGCTAGCGCTTTGGCCACGGACCGATGATGATGCGATCTCATTGGTATCCCAATCTCCGGGCTCACGACGGCCATTGACCAATGCCCCGGACCCAAACCGGGACCGCGACATCGGCAGATGCCCGTCGTGACTGCTTCTCTCCAATTAGTTATGATCTATGTATTGCATTATGCACAACGCCATTCATCGCGAGCATACCAGAAATAGGTCCGGGTGTCGGCATGGCACAACGGCATTTCCAAAGGAGACGCGTACCATCCGACCTTTCTTGAGGGCTAGTCTATGTGTTTTTGCATGACTATGCCTGTATTGTCGGACTGTACCTCATTCACTTCGTCTCCTTCCCTAGTCTACAATCGGTGGATACCCTTCCTTTACTACTAGGTGGAACTTTCCGCGACCCCATACATAGTGATACGGGCCTCCATTGGTCTTTCCCCTACCGTAACCCGAACGATGAAGAAGTTACTGTTCATCCATGAATACGTAGGCGAGTCAGTTTCCACGTGCCTGAAAATACGAAATCTCTGTGAGCGTGAGCACGTTCGCTGTCAAACTACGGTTTCGAGGACGCACGCGTAGATGAAGGAGCCGGTATTGATGTTTCTGGCGGCCATCGAGGCTTTTCAGCTTCGTTCCTTCGAAATCCAAGTGGTCGTGGATGGAATCCAGACTCACCCTATACCATTGACAGTTATGGAGGCGAGCTTGCCATCCGCCTTCCAGACGTATGGCAGGACAGCCGAGGGAAAGAATATCCCAGAATTGCTCAGGATGCCGGTGTCGGCGGTAGGCAGGAGCGTCGCGACAACCTCGCCCGTCTTGGCATCTGTGAGGTTTCCGCTGCATACATGTCTCCGGGTGAGAGGACTGGTATTGAGCTCTGTACAGAGCATGACTTACCCTGTATCGGGCGCGTGTTGTCGGATGCCAAAAGGCCCCGTGGTGTTCAGAGCGTCCTGGGAAGGACCGCTGACAATCTGTCCCATGAATATGGCGTCGAAAGTGGGTGGCGGTTGAGGGGTTTGGGCGACGGCTAAGGCGAAACCCGCGGCGAGAATGCCAGTCAGAGGCGAGAGGAGGCGGCTGCTGCGCATCTTGAGATGTGGGCCCAACGCGTGCTCCCTGATGAGTGCCTTGTGTACCTTTTGTACTCGCCTGCAAAGCTTGTGAGGTCAGATCCATGCACTAGGCGTCCTCCGCCATCTGTACCACATGGGACGATATGAAGTTGAGCCGCTGGACTGCGACGGTGCATCCAGCTAGCACCAGCGCTGGCCTGGCTTGTGCCCGTGCCTTCATTATTCGCCTCTGCTGAGGAGTTGTGTATGATAGGTAGGGCATATTCTGTGGCAGATAGTCAGTCAAGCCACTAAGTGTATCAGCCTCGCCGCTTCAGAGTCTGCCTGCCAGTCCCAGGAGGGTGTGAGTACTAGTCACTTGGCTTATAGGGTAGATGTCGCACCTGAGGCACTGTCTGACAGGACTGAGTCGCATGCCACATATGAACGGAGTAGGTAGCTCGAACGACCTGGACCCCTGGCATTCTAGCCCCTACGCGCGTGTCGCGCGTGCACTGACATTGTTCCGAATGAGGTCAGATCTAGCGCTGGTCACGTCCACAGCTACCGCGCCGTAGTCAGTCCTGCCATGCCATCGTAACATCCTTATTTCTGACGAGTAGCAATGTGGAAGCTGGTCGTGCGACGTGCAAAGAGCGCTGGAACAAAGGCAAACACACATGCATACTTGCCCTGCATAGGTGTTAGGGACGTAAGACAGCAGCTACCATATCATTGTCCTGGCGCGAGCCCGCCGAACTGGCTGCCTAGTCCAAACGTCGGAATCCCACCTAGCGAGCCAATGTCGTCTCCGATGTAGTTTTGCGGCTCTACACCCCTTTCATACACATCCTCCCACTCGTTCATGATACCCTGCACGACCTGCACGCCCGCAAGGTACACATTCCGCACCGACGCATCGTACCCCGCGTCCTGCCCATTGAACAGATTGTCCGCGGCGCTCACGCCTGGGGGCGGCCTGTCGAAGTCCGACGCTGTCCGCATAGCAATGACGCGCCCGAAGTCGACGCGACGCGCGAGTGCCCCGCGGAGGAGCGCCCCGAGCACCGCCCCGTCCTCTTGCTGCGTAGTGCAATACACGCCCGTGCCGTTCGTAAACAGCGTTGTCGTGTTCTCGAACGCAGCTCCTAGCAGCGCACCGCTCCACCACACGTCTGACGTCGCCGTGTCACATGCAAGCACGCGTGGCTCGCCGAGTGCTGCGGCGTACTGAGGCTCGCTGGCGTACAGCTGTCTGTACTGCTGGGCGCTCGCAGTGTCGTTCAGTTTGGCTTTGCGGGCGAGGGCGACGGCACGCTGGCGCAGGGCGTCGTTCAGCTCGAAGACCTCCGTGCCGTAGATGTACAGCGGCCACTGGTCTGGTGCGGTCGTCCCCTGGGGCACGTACCCGGTAGGGAATCCGTCTGGGATCTCGCGCCCATCGATTTCGTACTGCAGCGCGACCTGCACCGAGAAACGTGCGAACGCGACCGAGCCGAGCGTGCCCTGCTTTGGTGAGATGCCCCCATCACCGGCGAGGAGGAAATACGAGTGGGTGAGGTTGAAGAGAGGAGAGTGGATGAGAGCGAACGTGGATAGCGCCGCGTTGATCTCGCCCTCGTCTGTGACGAGCTGGCAAATGTCGGCCGAGGCCGTGCAGTGGATGGCGGGATAGCGCCTGGAGAGACTAGGGACGGTGACGTTGCGTGCGAGGAGGTCGAACTCGGGGATGCCGGTCCACGCATTGGCCTCATCAGTGTACTTTGGAGGATAGTCAGAAGAACACGCTCCGTAGGCTAGTACACAAGTATGTACTCACGAAGTCAACGATGACGACCTTGGGTGCGAAGGGCTGCGAATTCGCTGTCGCCACCACGGCTTGGATCGCCACTAATGCGAGGAGTCTCCATATGCACATCCACATCTTGGCAGGAAGGACCTAGCAGTTTTGTTGGACGAGTGGACGCAGGCACCTGGCAGTCGTGAACAATGGCGACAAGCTCGAGCGTCGGGAGGAGGCCACGATCCGCCCGCAGGGAAGTACCGCCATCTTATGGACGAGCTGCCACGACTGCGACAGATGCGCCGAGCTTTATATGTAGATCCCTCGGCGAGCCGGGGCCCCGTGGTGAACGAGGTATCCAAACAAGTTGATTGCCCCAAGACGCTCAGTCGTGGGAAGGTCTATGTTTTCCCACACTGCCCGTGGCGCCTCCCGCGTATCCTCGGACTACCTCACTTGTTTTCTTCATGAACTACTGTTAGTTCTTAGTGGAAGGCACTTCTGTTGGCTTTGCCAATCCGCTAACGCCATCATAGAGAGTGTTTTCTATAACATCCCCTATTCCAGCACCTCGTCTCGGCACGCGCGGCATGCCATATTAATCTACTTCCAGCACTCTCCTTCGACAGCTGTTCCCCCGGTGGAACAAGTGTATGGGACATGCGCCACTCAGTGTCGACGTTCCTCATAACCGCTTTCCAACTCTTTCTGAGGATACGGAAGGATAAGCATGAGTCATTGGTACGTCCTCAGGCTGTGGAGAACTGTAAACGCACTCACCTGTCGTGTACAAAGTTGTCAGAGTCAGAGAGCTGAGGCGGCGTTATTCGTCGGTCTGGACATCAAAGCTGGAGAGACAACGAAACCTCAGAAGACAAGTTACTTAATTACGGAGACGTCGAAGTTAAGGCGATTGAAGTGCCGGGCTTGGTCACGGAGTACCGCAACCTGGAGAGGCGTTCGGATATGTTTGCTCGGTCGAGTTCCACGAGATCCTCATACCTGCCTGTGAATGTTCCGTGGCCGTTGGTTTCCTCTGTTCGGTGGTACCAGATGGACATGATAGACCCATGCAACGAGACTGTCACTGTACACGGGGACGGGTAGTCTGAACACGGGCACGATTAGTGAGTTTTAGGAGGAAGCACATAGCAGGAGAAGCGCACAGCTTGAAGACGCCGACACCTAATATAGAGCACACGCAGCTTCGTTCGCTACTTTCACGGAGTCGGTCCTTGTGCTCTTCGTCCTCGTTCCCTCACCGTGCAGGATGTCCAGATGGAAGGGGATACTCTTCCCAGCACTCCTCGTCCTCGTCTTTGCACCTGCGTTCCTTTGCTACAGCCGCGTACTGCTTGCAATGCGGGCCTTCATGGGAGGCCCCACGCTTCTGGCCGGCGTTGTCCAATTTGCTGTGGCGGAGCACGCGCCGTTGGCTCCCAAAGTCGTGATTGTCGACTACGTGCGTATGAAACCGCGCTCTCCGCGTCCGTGCAAACATGTCTAATCCAAGAGTACACCTTGGATCTAACGACTGCAGTACGGTGATGAAGGCTCCGCCTGGCTCGGGATCCCGGAGTTTGACCTCCTGGCGCGGAATATCACCGTCCCCGGCCTGTCGCGGCGCTACTCCAGCGTTCGATGCACCTCAGACGGCGACATCTGTCAGCTGCTCACAGACGAAGGTCTGATCAACGCAGCACTCTCCACCGCAGCCTTGGTTCAATCGCCGGCCTTCGACCTCAGGCAATCCTACTTCCTCCTCGCGGGCGTCGCTGGGATCTCTCCCAAATTTGGGACACTGGGCTCCGTCGCTTTCGCGCGTTTCTCCGTTCAAGTTGCGCTGCAATACGAGGTCGACGCGAGGGAGATCCCGGCTGAGTTCAACACGGGCTATATTCCCCAGGGTACGACTGCCCCTGGGCAGTGGCCGCGCTACGTGTACGGCACCGAGGCGTTCGAGCTGAACGATGCGTTGCGCCAGCGCGCCATCAC